CTTCAAAAGTATTGCATGACAGGAAAAAAAAAAAAAAAAAAAAAACCAGGCCCACATATATGAGAGGGTTAGAGAGAAGAAGTTCCCTGGAGAGAACTAAGCCCTGAAGAGGAAGAACACACGCCCAAGTAAGGTCTGAAGTCAGGGCTGAATACACACAGCTCTGCATCGGCTGCTATGAAGATATTTTCCCTATGGTTGATCTGGTTCAAAGGAATTCTTCCATTCTATTGTGTAAGCTGTGGATGTTTACAATATTCTTTGTCCCAAGATGATGGTGGGATACTGGCACAGGATCTAAAGGAACTACACTTTCAGGCTTCACACAATAATGTCTGACTTCCTCCCTGGAGCAGAGTGGAGGCATCTGAAAACATCACTCTGAGAATATTGGACCTGACTGAAAACCCCAGGAGATCAATTCTAAAGTATGTTTGGCTCTGAAACTTTTAAAACGGTAACTACCAAACACCTCAAAATTATACTCTTTCATTCCTTATCTCACATGACTTCAGTTCAAAGAAGGAAATGGTATTTTTTTCATCCCTATCTTGCTTATGGAGAGATACCCTGAGCCTTTAACACTGTATACCTTTATAAACTTAGGCAAATTGTCAGGGGATTAATCACGGTAATGCCATGGTCATGCCAATCCAAGATGCTTCGAAGGTACAGCCCTACCTCTTGACTCCATCCTACCAAAAATGTTGGCAAATAAATTCAAGATAATATTTATTTTAGTTTAATTCAACCATCATAATATAATCTGTGAATACTCTACCACCCTTGGATGTCATTCTTAACTGTTTACCTTTATGCTTTCCAAAGTGTCACAGAAAAAGTCAAAACCAATGCATGCATATCACATGCACACTACATATTAGTAGAAATGCATTATGAAATAATTGTCATATAGAGCACTTAAAGTTATAAAATCCTAACTTAGAATGCGTCATAGAGAGCTAGTCCAATCTCCTACCCAATGCTAGGCTCACATCTTCAGTATCTGAAATAGCATTGCCATCTCCATTTAAATGCCACTGGAGAAAGACAGCCCACAACGCATGACAGTTCACTCCACTAATTGACAATAGCACATTAGACAGCCTAGAGATAAATGTGTTTTTCATGTAAACTCATCAGTATACCAAAAAACAGTGATATAAAATGCAAGTTCCTTTCAATACTAAGCTTTTCTAAAACTTTGAAAGTAAAACTATCAAATTTGATATACCAATATTAAGCAAGTTAACACGTAATGTATGTAAAAATACATTTTCAGGCCAAGGAATATGGGGGTTTCTCCCATTGTTGTTGTTGTTTTGAATTAGAGTCTCTCTCTATCACCCAGGCTGGAGTGCAGTGGCGCCATCTTGGCTCACCTCAACCTCCACCTCCCATATTCAAACAATTCTCCTGCCTCAGCCTGCCAAGTAGCTGGGATTACAGGCGCCCGTCACCATGCCTGGATGATTTTTCTGTTTTTAACAGACACGGGGTTTCACCACATTGGCCAGGCTGGTCTCGAACTCCTGACCTCAGGTGATCCACCCACCTCAGCCTCCAAAGTGCTAGAATGACAGGCATGAGCCATGGCACCCAGCCAAGATTTCTCCCATTGTATATCTTGCCCTGAACCACATCTATCTCAATGCCAGTAAGTCAAAACTCTACTGTCTGTGTCTTAAAAGAAAGTGACTCAAGACTATCACTTCATTTCCTTCTCTCCTCCATACTTGGTTTGCATACTTGGGTTCACTTGATTAAAAATCTCTCTATTCTCTTGATCTACTCACAATCCAGAATAAGTGGCCATGGCAAGTGATAAATATAAAGACATACAAATTGCAGAAATAGTCAATGATTTTGAGCCTGGGTGATTAGAACAGGGATACTATAAAAGCCACAAAAGGAAATGAGACAATCTGGTTGGGAGAGATAGAGTTTGGGTTTGGAAATCTGAAGTTTAGGATGGTACAAAAATGTTTAGTGTCTGGGTAGAGAATCCAGAACAGATATCTATTTGAGTTACCAGAAGAAAGAGCTGTTGAAAATATGATAGATCAATATCCTACGGAAAAGGGAAATGAGAGAAAGAACAGGAGCAAAGACATCAATTTATACCCCCTTCGAGTATTCCCACCTTGTATATGTCTTTATTTCCTAATTTTCCTCAAGTGAATACTCTCATCTTCCTAATAAGTTCTGTAGAATCAAGAATCAAGGGTCTCATGTATTTTCTCATAGGCTGCTGGGGCATGGAAGATACTCAATAAAATCATTTTGGCTGTTTCTAACAACCAGCCAGAATTTTTTTTTTGAAATATCTCCTATAAGTGGAATTTTTATCAATGCTTAACACTTGCCCTGGACAATGAAGACTGCCTTCTACACGTGGCCTGGAGAATCACATATACTATCCCTTTGAGGTCGACATCAAAGGATATCTTTATATTAAATCCATGCAACTATTAAAAATACAACAACTGCCAAGATTCTCCCTGTTCTAGATCTTACTTTGCACAAAGTCAAATCTGTGCTTTGTGTCATTCGGGGGCACTCCAGTATATTTGCAAATACAAGTACTTCAGATTTCATAATTTTCTTTCAATTTTGGCAAATGGACTAAACTACTTAAACTGGCAACAATATAATTTGAGGATAATTGCTACTTATTTCATATCTGTACAGAGAACTGCATATTCTTAGAGTTCTTTATCATCAACTTTATTTATACACTGAAGATATTATCAAAAAGCTCACTAAGTCTCTCATATCACAAGAGCCCTGAGCTCAAGTCATCCTGGCCTTCCATAAATCCCACCACTGAGTCCTTCTTTCTGAATTTACCGTTGTTATTTCCCATGCTTGGAACTCTTCTTCTCCCTGCCTTGCTTCCTTCTATCCAAATTATCCAAATTCTTCCTTCTCCTTTATGCTGGCATCTCCAACTTTATCAATCTATAGTTACTCTTCTCTGAATTCTGATGATCACATATAATCAGAATACACACACATATATATAAAATCTCCAACAAATATATACATAAAATCTTCAACATATATAATTATATATGTTATATATATATATATGTATATATATATATATATAATCTACAATTGGTTGTATATATCTATCTCCAACCAAACTAACATTTGGGTTTAAGTTTTCTTACGTTATTTAGTAAATATTTCAGGTAAGTTCTTTTTTAAAAATTTTTTCTCTTCTAGAACGTACCAGTAAGTTCTTTGAGGCCAGTCCTCATTGGCGATATGTGTGTGTGTTCGCTGGCACCAATCTATGACATTTTATGCATATGGAAGGTAGACAATATTTATAAATGGCTGAAATACCTCTTGGTATTTGTAGAATTTCATAAAATTCCTTATCTATTTGGCCATTGAGAAATGCTTTTAAATCATAATATTGCATACTAGACCAACATAGATTCATTGTACTCATAATCCAATCCTTCAGGGAAGGTCCTATTTGGATTAAAAATGAAGGAGTAAAAGGAGATAAAGCTTTTAGCATATTGATAGAACATACTGATAATACTGTATTACTGTTCTTTATAATTTAAGGCAACATCACTAATGAAGATTAGAGAAAAGATCAATGAGTTATGAGGTATTAATGCAGGAATGAAAAGAAGTCCAATATCAAAGACATCAAAGCTAATAACAACTTCTCCTCCACTTGCTGACCCATTATAATCAGGCCTGGATCTTTTTTCCTTAGGAGAAGTGATAAATGCTCATAGAGTGGCAGTTTCTCCCTGAGCTGTCAAAAGACCCTAACACAACGAGACCAACCACGTCTGGCTCATTAGAATCACTCTTTAACAAGCTAGGCAGAACCCACGACCCAACCACATCAGGATTCAAAGTTTCAAAGAGGATGGGGAATGTAGAGTCTGGAAAGGAGCAATAAAAACTATCAGAAACAAACAGTCCAAACGAAATAAAAACAAGCCTGAGTACAGTGGGTCATATCTAGAATCCCAATGCTTTGGGAGGCTGAGGTGGGAGGATTGCTTGAAGGCCAGGACTTTGAGACCAGTCCGGGCAACACAGCAAGACCCCATCTCTACCAGAAATATATGTTTTAAAAATTAGCCAGGCATGGTGGCATACACCTGTAGTCCCTACTACTCAGGAGATGGAGCAGGAGGATGTTTGAGCCCAGGAGTCTGAGGCTGCAGTGAGCTATGATCACAGGACTGTACTCCAGCCTGTGAAGCAGAACAAGACCGCATCTCTAAAAAAGAAAAAAAGAAATTAAACAGCACAGCCTGCATCAGTCTCCCTGACATGTAGTGTTGAGTGGTGACAGGGCAAGACAGTACAAAGACAGATCAGGAAGGAAATATCTCAAAAACGAGCCATAAGGAATAGTCCTGTGGTGGAAAAGAAGAGATAGAATTGCACTGACACACACACAGCCACTGTGCACATGCATTAGGTTGAAGCTATATTTGCTCATCACCAAGGGGTCCCATCACACTGAAATGAAACCAGGAGCTCCTTTTTACATCATGACTCCTATGAAAGGGATGTTTCATGTTTAATAGTCTTACAAACAACTGTTTTAAATTGGGGGTTAGGGGAGAAGAAATGGGAAGTTGCAGAGGGAACTGCTTAATGAACAGGGCTATTTAAGGCTTCCCTTGAAATCTTCTACCATCATTCTTGCCTTTTTCCTGCTAAATAAAGCCTCAAAGTAGGAGGAATGCAAAGGTTGAAGAAGTAGAAACCATCGCTGTAGAAAAAACAAAGGTGGATCTGGCAAATGCAATGAATTTAGAGGGAATGTAAGTTTTGTTTCCTAGCCATCAAAAATAGTTTGATGGATTTGGGCCAAAATGAGAAATAAAAGCGCACTCCTTCCTCCCTGCACCCTACAGAGCTGCCTTTGAAGTCACATGTGCTCCACAGAGCATGGATAGAAACAGAACTCAGGCTCATTTAAAATTTTATTGTATGTGGTTTGGTATAAGTCAGTGTCCTTCAGATATTGACAAAAAAGTCATTTTCAACACCTTCTTAGGTACACTGAACTTTCCTTTTATGCCCTGGAATTTAAATGCTTCCCTTTGGTTATACCTTCTGGTCCCAGAGACAGCCTTGGGGACTTGGCCCAGTTGCCTGGATCTGGTTCAGGAGCTGCCTGGATGGATGGCTTGTAGGGACTGAAGCTGACTCTTCGCAGCCACCTGGCAAACGTTGGCCAGCTTTGCAGCCTTCTGGTCTCCCCTGACCAGCTCCCTGGGAGGCCTCAGGCCCTTCTCCACTCTCCATTCTACCTTCCCAGGCCTGCGGGATGAAGTGCAGCTGTCCGTTCTTTATGCCTGCTACCCCCCATAGAAGGGAAGAAAAATACTGTATTTGGAATAATAACAACTACACTGATGGTTATGTTTCAAAACCAATCCATCTTCAAAATCAGGGACATCTTTGGTAAACCTCATCACAGCCTGAAGTATAGAAATGTATATATTGTTTGCTTTGTTTGGTTTTCTACCTAGGTACTCAGCTTAGAGTATGGAACCCTCTCAAGCCGGTATCACATAACTAGGAGCTAAAAGGTCAGAGAGAGAGACAGAAACAAAAGAATTTTATATTTTCAAATGCTTTAGTTCACCCAGTATGTGGACTCTAAAGGGGGAAAAAATTAAAATAGCAGATTTTCAGGATATGAGATTTAGTCATAGAATATTAGCTTATAGCATCTTTTTTTCTGGGAGTGAAGATACAACTAAAAGGAATCATGAAGACCAACTAACCCAACTATTTAAAGAGGAGGAAACTGCTGCCCAAAAATTAATGGCTCAGATTAAGAGTGTCAAAGAGACACACAAGCCAATTAGAAGTCTCCACTGGCCAAAGATGGGACAATAAGAATACCAAAAAGTATGACTGCAACTGATTCAAATATACTCAAATGCACCATGGGTTTATGAGTTGATAAGACGTTCCTTCCATTCTTTCCCTGTTCCCCAAAAAGCAGAGAACTGATGGAGGCTGCCAGGGCTCCAACTCATTATTCAGAAAATTCATCAGTAACAGAAAAGAATGAAGAATGAATCTTTCTTTTTCTTTCCTAACTATATTTCAGGATACCAAATAAGTAATGATGAAAAATTGATCCCTATTAAAGAATTTCAACAAATAAATGCAGAAAGAATGGTGGAATTTCAAAATTTTCCATTTTGTGACTTCTAGAAAAGATCCTTGCAAAAACCATTACTTAAAATAATGTGTGGTTGATGAGAAACCTTATAAATGATGGACCAGGTATACGGCTAAATCTTCAGACCAATCTTAACTCACTAAAGTTGGGACAAACAGATACTACATCTCTCCTAATGAGATGCATTAGAAAGTACATGGCATGAGCTATAAAGTGATCTTGCCAGAAAAAAAAGAAAGAAAATCTGAGCCAGAATATAATCAGACCTGTTCATCTATATGAAATATGAGGATAGAGGGACAAGTTAAATGACACTGCAAGGAAGCAATCAGCCGAACCCAGAATGTGGGACGTGCTAGAGGGCAAACACCTGCTGTCTCCAACAAATAAAGGGAATTAAAAGGGGGAAAGGAGTAGAGGGAACTGTTATAAATTTAGAAAATTTAAGAGACAAAGCTGCCAATTCAATAAATGTACTTCATTTGGCTCTTAATTTGAGCAACTACTAAAACAAAACAAAACAAAACAATTTGCAATTTGTAATTGAAAGAGATAAGCAATAAAATGTGAGCATGAACTATGTTAAAAGCAATTCAGAAATTATTATTAATGTTTTACAATATTTATGTTATAGGTATTCATACATACAATTAAGTACTTATTTGTTAGGAATGCATACTAAAATAGTTTGGCATAGAAATTTTTATAAAAAGGAAGTTAATGACTCAGTTAGGATTAGACTCTGCTCTTATGGTACCCAGCACATACTCATTTCATTATAACCAAATTCAAAGGAAACATAAAGATTAAATTTCTTTAAGCTCTTAAAAAGCAACACCAATACCATTTGTGTTCTCTCTTCCCTCAAATAGTAAGGCACTATGAATGTTTGAAGACTATAGATAAGCTACATTTTCTTCCTCTTGAAACAACAAAAAAAGACTGTTATAAACAAGATTATGTAATAATCTTATAGATTACAGTAGTTACACTGGGATTTTGTGCATTGAGTCAGTTCACCTAAATGTAAATAAGGAGAAGAGGCTCCCTAGACCAAAAATATCACACACACCCCCAAGAGTGCTTCAAATTCTCATGTACACATGTGATATAGAAGGAATGACACACTGAGCCACATAACCTTGATTAGTGTATTAGATAAAATTAAGTCTAAAGAGATAACACACAGGACAAAGAAGAATCCATAAACATACAGAGCTTAAAAATCCACAATTCAGTTCCTCAATTACTAAAGATATAAAAGAAATGGGTGTCTAGAAAAGAAATGGGTGTCAGAATGGAAAGGGCAAGAGAACAAAAGCAAAAAAGGGAAGAAGAACAAAAGAACATCATCAACACCTTTTCCAAATCTCAACTTATCCCATAATTGTTAAAACACATTTTTTAAAAGTGTGACAAAAGTGAAAATGTACTCAAAGCATAAAAATATAACATTGAAAAAAAAACAGAAAAGATGGTCCTCAAACTCTCTTGAATCTCCATCTTCAATGAACAGCATGAAAAAAAGACACTCAGGGTTTAAAATCGTCAGTGGGCTAAGAGCTGAACATCATATAAGCCACATGCACATTAACTAGAAACAACAAAGTTTCAGGAACAACAACAGGTGCGCAACTTTCAGTGTGTGGTTCCACATGTAAGGAATTTGGAAGCAGCCACTCTAGAATTCTGTACCCTGCTAAATTATCCTTCAAAAGTGAAGGAGAAATAGTAACTTTCTCAGACAAACAAAAATTGAAGATATTTGTTGCCAATACACTGCCTTGCAAGAAATATTAAAAGAAGCTCTTTAAAGAAAAAATGATGAAGATCAGGAACTTGTATCTACAAAAAGAAAGTACATCAAAAAAGCCATAAATGGAGGTAAAATTTTTAAAACTTTGGTTTTTTTCAGTTGTTTGTTTTAGAAATGGGGTCTTGCTATATTGCCCAGGCTCTGGAATCAAACTCTTGGGCTCCAGCCATCCTCCTACCTCAGCCTCTTAAGTAGCTAGGACTACAGGCATGCGCCACCATGCCTGGCTTCTTATTCTTAATTGACCTTACAGAAGTTTGTTCAAAATAATAATAGAAACCATGTATTCAATTACATATGCTTAGATAGGGATATTTTATGTATGTATATATGTGCATATAGAGATCCATGTACACACACATTCATATATGCTTTTGTATAAGTGAAATGGATGACAAAAAGAAATGAGAGGAAGGAATTAGAAGAATTTGAATTATTTTATTATAAGATACTCATACTACCCATGAAGTAGCATAGTGCCATTTGAAAGAGGATGTGGATTACCTGTATATTGCAAACCTCAGGGTAACCACTAAAAAAGAATATTTTAAAAAGCAGTATAACTGATATGCTAAGAAAGAAAAGAAAATAGAATCAAATAAAATGCTCAGTTAAAACCATAAAAGTTAGAAAGAGTGTAACACAGAGAAACAAAAATAACAAGTGCAAAAATTTTAAAATAGTAATAAATATGGCAGATATTAATCCAATTATATCAATAATCACTTTGAACATCAGTGATCTAAATGCATCAACTGAAAGAAATTTTCTGAATGAATTAAAAAAACATGACCTAAATATATATTGCCTACAAGAAACCCATTTTAAAAACAACATCATATATAAACTTTAAGTACATAAAAGGAGAAAAAGATATCATGATAACACTAATCAAAAGAAAGCAGGAGTAGCTATGTTCATTTCAAAACAGAGCAGACTTCAAAACAGGGAAAGTCAACTGGGGCAAATAAAGCCATTACATAATAATAAAGGGATCAATTCTCCAAGATGGTATAACAATCTTTAACATGTATGTACCTAACAACAGAGTATCAAACTACACAAAGCGAAAACTAATAAAACTGCAAGTAAAAACAAACAGATTTACTCTAGTTGGAAATTTCAACACCCCTCTATCTGTACTGGTCAAATCCAGCAGGCAGAAAATCAGTAAGGACGTAGTTGAATTCAACACCACCATCAATCAACAGCATATCATTGATATGTATAGACTACTTTATCTAACAACAGCAGAATACATACTCTTTTCAAACCCACATGAAACATTCACCAAGATAGATCACATTAAATACCTGTACAAATTTATACATGAAACATTCACCAAGACAGATCACGTTAAATACCTGTACAAATTTAAAAGAACAAAAATCATCCAATGTCCTCTCTCAAATCACAATAAAATTTAACTAGAAGTCAATAACAAAAAGATAGCAAAATCCTGAAATATATCGAGAATTAAATAACACACTTCTAAATAACACATGATTCAAAGAATAAATCTCAAGGTAAATTATAAAATATTTTGAACTGAATGAAAATGAAAATACAACTTGTCAAAAATTGTGGAATGCCACAAAATCAGTGATCTAAAGGAAATTTATAACATTGAATGCAGGTATTATAAAAGAAAAAAGATTGAAAATCAACAATCTAACTTTCCACTTTAGGAAACTGGAAAAAGAAGAGCCAGTTAAATACAAAGTCAGCAGGGGGAAAAAAAGGAATAATAAATATTAGAGCAGAAAACAATAAAATTGAAAAGCAGGGACTCCACAGAGGAAAAAAGAAAAGTCGATGAAACCAAAAACTGGTCCTTTTGAAAAGATCAATAAAATCAATAAGTCTCTAGCCAGGCTAAAAAATGAAAAGAGAACACAGGTTACTAGTATCAAAAATGAAAGAAGGGTCATTATTACAGATGCCACAGATATTAAAAGGATAATAAAAGAATACTATGAACAATTCTATGCTCACACATTTATTAACCAAGATGAAATGGACCAATTCTTTGCAAGACACAATCTGCCAATACTCACCTGAGAGGAAATAGACAATCTGAAGAGGCCCATATCTGTTCAAGAAATTGAATCAATCATTAACAATCTTTGAAAACAGAAAAGCACAAGGCCTAGATTAGTTCACCATTGAACTCTACCACACATTTAAGGAAGAAATTATACCAATTCTCTACAATCTCTTTCAGAGAATAAAAGCAGAAGAATACTTCCTAACACATTGTTGGGGCCTCATTGCCCTAGTGCCAAAACCAGATCGAAATAATGACCA